CATACACACAAACAACAAAAAAAACAACACCTTAAAACATCTCAAAAATAAGTATTCAAGGATTTAAAAGTGGAATAAAAATAGCTACCAATCAGATAAGACAACAGTGTGTTTTTGCCACGAGAGGCTCCTGTATTCCTGATCATAAGGCTCATTTTAGTTTAGATTAATCAACAGGTGGGGGTTGAGGGTTAGGTCTTTTTATCATTACCACATAATGAATTAATTTTGTTTAAATCTTCAATGTCGCAACGATCATGAAGGCTTTTAGTGGAGTTGTAGCCATAATGATCTAAACGTATCATGGAATTTATTGTACACCAAAAGCAAAAATGCTGGCAAAAAACATTGACTTTAATCGAAAGTGAAAAATAAAAATAAAAATGGAAATGATGTATTGTCCACCTTAGAGTACCCAATACCATTGTACACTCTAAATTCATATAAAGATGGCAAAGTGCATCGATCAGTCCATCCAATCATTATCACACTGGAAGGATCCAGGCTTTACCCTGTACCACACCAATCCATCTTACATTAAAAAAAATAGCTCCAAATCAAGGAGAAAATCTCTAAAAATAATGTTTGTTTAGACTAAACTCTCGACAGGTTTTTCTGTCCTGGAATAATTCACCAAATATGTTAGCAGAACAAGCTGCTTTTTATAGTCGCTGAAAACAGACAGCATGGTCGCTTTGATTTTTGCCTGTTTGGACAGAGCGGTACGACGTGTGAAAAGTCTGATCTACAGAGCGTTTACTGCACCAAAAAGGTCCATTATTTGGTTTTTCTACCCTTAAGAGGAAAGTTTACCACATAGTTAAAACAGCAAAGGCTTATGTCTTAGTCTCAGTTGTGTAATGAACTGTGATTAACCAATGAGGTCATTTTTTCAATTCTCAGATTTTTCAGAGGCTGGAGGGGTAAAAATGTGCAGTCATTTTTCTTTTTTTTTAAGGAAGTTAAGACTCAAACAGAAAAATAATAATACTTATTATTATTATATAATATTGTTGACTCCTTCCAGGGCGGATTACAGAACCTACAGCTGTTGCTTTTCTGCACCAAAGCAAGAATGTGGAGGCGCGATGATTTTACCGTATACCATATTTTGGTTGCCTCCAACAGGTTCCCCTCTCCTCGTCAAGCAACCATCAGTGGGCAGTTCTTGCAGTCAGCAATGTGCGGGACTAACTGTGCAGTTGCATCCAGCTGCAGTCCTTTTATGGTCCCCGGTAGGCCACTGTAGTTCATATACATCAAAACCAACCGACATCAGTGCAGAAGCACAAATATAGGAAACAGGAGACAGTTGAACTGAATCTAAGCCCAGGGGCTGGGTGCTTTAAACAAAAGGATCTCTGGGCGAACATGTAGCGAGATCAGAAGGCGGTATCAGGCTCATCTCATCCCTATAAGACATGTACGCACATAACAACGAATGCATTCAAAATGAAAGCTGGGTGTCTACGTACCAGACCCAGTGGCGGCACCCTGTGCTTCGACACCTCGTCCACCAGGGGTTGAGTGCACTGCACCCCCCCCCCCCCCCCATGCAGCTCTGGCCTTTGCACTATGTGACTACAGGGTAACATTTTCAGACAAAGTGCTCAGAAACTTGCTTGACTAATCTTGAATATTATGTTCTGTAACACCTTTACAGTCTGATTTACAACACGTTAGTTCGACTCAGGGCTTAATTTGGGATGTGTGTGTGTGTGTGTGTTTGTATATGTGTGTGTGTTTGTGTGCAGGGGGAACACAATTTAAGAGAACTACTGAAAAGAATGCTGCCTGTTAGACACACGCGTCTCCTCGATGAGTGGGAAAAGTGGGAAAATTCTATTTTACTGCCTCTTCCCCCATGAGAATAAATTATTGGATGCATTTTATGTTATTGATTGTAGATTATGGGTGAAAACGTGTGTATGCGAAGGGAGTGTTTTCCTTACGAACATCTGCTGAAGGTTGTGATACTTAAAACCTGATAAAATGACTATATGTGAATAGTTTTATACATAAGAGTAACGTTGTCAGGTTAAAGGTCGGCCAGTACTGTGAACTGCTGTATTTTTTACAATGATGTTTTTAAATGAGAGCAGACTGACTGAGTTTTATTAGTTCTGCTGCCTTAGAAACACTCCCAATCATGTTCCTGTCTGTCTTTTTCTACTTTAAGCTACCTCAATTAAAGATTCTTCTGTCAATCCACTGCAGAAATTATGTTTTTGTCCTCTTTAGACAGTTACATATTATGTATATTCACTGACAAATTACACGTGCATCCAGCATTTCCAACCTTTGAAAGCTGTACAAACATCTCTAATCCATGGCATTTTCCAGGGACACTGTCAAGTCCACATAAATCATTTCGATGCCCTATCAGGCCTCAACATATATTTGTGCAATATTACAGCTTTTCCAGGCAAACAAAACATGAGGAAAATGAGGCAAGAATTTGGCAAAACAGTGCTTATGTCTCTGTGATAGGTCATATTGTTTGCATTTGTTTTTCAAATGGTTTGTGGTTATTAGATTCATTAAAAAAGAAGCTTGGGAATGGTCACCACTAAGCAAAAAAAAAAAAAAAAAGTAAAACCTTGCAATACTACAATGAATGCAGCAACTAACAGCATCATTAAACGTTTTGATAGTCTGCCTACAGATTTATATTACTATCACTGTGTTTAAGGTATGGCAGGTTTAGGCACAAAAAACATCTTGAATTCTTACATACACTATTATCTGTTAAACATCTACAGACAAAGTGAAACAATTGAAATGTTTCAAATGCTCTATAATTCTGTACACAAACTATAAAGTGTTACCAAACTTTTTAATAAGTTTAAACAATTTGTACACCAACCATCCATCCCGACCACCTTCCAGCGAATCCAGTGTGGTGCATAAATTCAGCACTTCATTCACTCAAGAAATGTTGTGTCTGAACATAATTTAACCAGTGATTAGATTTATTACCACAATGGTATTGGGAAAACAATTTAGTAATATATGATCCTAATTTTATGGCAACAGGGTTGCATAACCTTTGATCCCTGGCTCCTTCTTTTTGTACTGAGAACCGTTAGCATGTTAATCTGGACATGAACATGTTGCATTGGGTGACTTGTTATTGCCATGAACACACACACTGTAGTTTATTTATTTTGCCCCAATCACCTATACACCATCCTGCTGCCCCAAAAACTCACCAGAGCATCAAATGTGGATTCATCCACCACTGAAAATAGTCGCAAACAGATGCGCAGTTTCCTCCTGTGTGAGTAACATTTCATGAAAACTACAGTGACCAGCTGTTTAAGGAAATTATTGAGTATTTTATAAAAGTGAAACTATATTTTTGTGAACTGTTTTCATCTTCGCTAGGAACTAACAGACATAGGGAGGTCAAAGTATTAAGAGGCTGATATAAATTCCGTTCCCTGCTACAAAACCATGTTCCATGTTTCCCAAAATGAAAACGCTTGAAAGGTGACACACCACAATACACAAGGATTAGCACAAGTATGAAGAAAGTAAAATGTTTGACTGCCCAGAATTTGTGCACTACAGGCCTGCAGTCCAGCAAGAGCTTGAAGCAGGAGAAGAAAGTGAAGGAGGAAAAGACAAAATAATTAAGGAGGAAACTGAGTTGGTTGTCTTCCTCCTTGTGGATTAAAGACACACATCGTTTGACCAAACACAACATACAGAGAGCTTCATGCATTTCAATAGCAGTCAGGCCTCTCACATTCATATGGCTGCATGGCCTCTGGCTGACCCACACACACACACACACACACACATATATATATGCAGGGCTACAGTGAGGAATGTAGCGGGACTTTCCGGGTGGCTCTCTGACCCGTTGACCTTTGGAGAGCCTCTGGGATATCTAAACATGTAAACACACTCCTCCTCCTCTTCCTCCTCATCCTCATCTCCCTCTCCTCTTCACTGGTCTGAAGATGCCTGTTCTGGAGCCTGGGTGGCAAGCTCAGTCATCACCTCATCACACACACACACACACACACACACACACACTGGACACAACCTTCCT